CTTTTAGAGCTAGAATTAAATTAGAGCCACTAGCCACTCTTCTCCTGGCTCTACTAGAACCAAAATTGAATTATACAGTATATTTACTGATTTCTGACCATTCTGGAGCTTATAAGTGTAATTTTTGGACTTCGTAGAGGAGGAGACTTGAAAATCCCATTTCACCTTTTCAAAAAATGTGAAATTTATACCACAAACGTGATAAAAACCATAACTTTTGGTAGATTATTATAATTCCGCAACAAAAAGAGAAAATAATTGCACCGTGCACTCAAATTCCCCAAAGTAATTTGGGGGTCCCTCGTCTGAAGATATTAAACGAAAGTGCAGGATGTGTTAATGCAACCGTCTTAGGTGTTATCGCACTTTTGGGGGCCCTTCACGTTAAATGGAGTGAAAGGTCCTATATACACTATACAGGGGATTTCATTTCATAGAAAAGCTTTTTGTGTATTTAAATAAATTTAACACACATTTTAGGCAAAATGTCTTTTTATACAAGGAAAATAGCCGAAAAGAGAACGCTCAAAACCGGATTGTATTCTGATTTGTGACGATTTTTATGCGCTCTTTATATGGAGCTTATATCGACTTAGCTCCATTTATATTTTTGTAGGTTGAAAAAAAAAATCCAATATATAGAGAACAATTTCTCGGTGCGCGAGCTAAATATAAAATTTCTAGGAAATGAGAACAAAGTGCAGGTCTCGACTTACTTCGTTACTAATTGAGCTGGACGCCCCAAGAAAGGATATTTATTGAGCCAACTTCCACTGGAAACCTGATAGAAATAATGAAAAATAATAGGAATTGGAACATTTTTGGTCAAAGATGCACTTTTCGTAATCTTGATTGAACTATCAATCAAAAACGAGCAATTATCCGTTTATCTGAGTGAGGCCCTCTTTCTTGGACATTTATTGCACAAACTCATAATTATTTATGCAGATATGATGCCCGAGAAAATACTGAACGGTCCATAATTATCTGTATTTTTCAACCATTCGCTCACGAATTATTGTCATTAGTCCAAGCCAAACGAGCATTGTAAATTGATATTTTGATGGGATTTTAATTCCGAACTTATGCTTATTACCGGCCGTTAATTTTTTGAATTTTGGCATCAGGTTTTTTTTTTATGGACTTGGCCTCTATAGTATGTAACTTGAAATTATTATCAACATGGAAAAGATATTCAAATCATGCAATCTTTGGAAAAAGGACACAAATGTACCTATATTGAAATAATTTATACACAAAATCATCACTATCAACCTAAATCCGCTAACTTTACATACATATACAGCTCTGCACCAATTTAAACTACCCAGGAAAGTTTTAGTTGCCACACGATTTTGTCCAACTAGGTTAGACAAGGCACTATTTCATTGTAAATTAAATTAGTGCCCTCGTCAAAGATAAAACTTGTACGAAGTAAAAGCCAATTTTTGAACGTCGTCATCGTAAAACTTCCAGAAAATCGACGAAACAGCGAGGATTTGAGACAAGATAACAACATAAATCTGGTATAGGAGGAATATCTATGTAATCAAAAAGAGACCCTCTGCTGGAAATAGAAAACGTCACGTTTTTCGAATTTTATCGATATTGTTTTTTGGGGAAAAAATGCTATTTTTAGGCTGCAATTAAACGTAATGTTTATTTTGTCAGCCAGCGAAGTTTAGTTTACATTTCGTGGACCAAAAAATGTCAATACAAATGTCCGATTTTTGGTTGGAGACTGTTTTGAGTTTCCACTTTTTGGTGTTTTATAATAAGATTCAATTTTTATAATTTTGTCATTAGGTTTTGATTTTTAAATTCTTGAAATTCGTTTGAAATTGAAAAGGAATAATAATTGTGATTTGTAAAGTAAAACTTTACAAACAATTTTTTCACTCAAAAACTAAAGTGAGTGGAAGGTTTAAATTTTTTAGGACTTTTTTCTAATGATTCAATGTATAAAATACTAAAAACTCAAAGCGATTGAGTTATTATTAATGGAGTTACGATTTTTTGAAAATAATGATGTTTTGTAAAGTAAGACTTTACAAACCATTTTTTCACTGAAAAACTAAAGTGAGTGGGAAGTTGAAATTTTAAGGACTGTTTCCTAATGATTCAATGTAAAAAATACTAAAAACTCAAAGCAATTGAGTTATTATTAATGGAGTTACGATTTTTTGAAAATAATGATGTTTTGTAAAGTAAAACTTTACAAACAATTTTTTCACTCAAAAACTAAAATGAGTAGAAAGTTTAAATTTTTCAGGACTTTTTCCTAACGATTCAATATAAAAAATACTAAAAACTCAAAGCGATTGAGTTATTATTAATAGAGTAACGATTTTTTGAAAATAATGATGTTTTGTAAAGTAAGACTTTACAAACAATTTTTTCGCTCAAAAATTAGAGTGAATGGAAAGCTGACATTTTGAGCACTTTTTCCTAATGATTCAATGTGAAAAATACAAAAAACTCAAAGCAATTGAGTTATTATTAATGGAGTTACGATTTTTTGAAAATAATGATGTTTTGTAAAGTAAGACTTTACAAATAATTTTTTCACTCAAAAACTAAAGTGAGTGGAAAGTTGAAATTTTGAGGACTTTTTCCTAATGATTCAATGTAAAAAATACCAAAAACTCCAAGCGATTGAGTTATTATTAATGGAGTTACGATTTTTTGAAAATAATGTGTTTTGTAAAGTAAGACCTTACAAACAATTTTTTCACTCAAACACTAAAGTGAGTGGAAAGTTGAAATTTTGAGGACTTTTTCCTAATGATTCGATGTAAAAAATACTAAAAACTCAAAGTGATTGAGTTATTATTAATGGAGTTACGATTTTTTCAAAATAATTATGTTTTGTAAAGTAAGACTTTACAAACAATTTTTTCATTCAAAAACTTAAGTGAGTGGAAAGTTGAAATTTTGAGGACTTTTTCCTAATGATTCAATGTAAAAAATACCAAAAACTCAAAGCGATTGAGTTATTATTAATGAAGTTACGATTTTTTGAAAATAATGATGTTTTGTAAAGGGAGACTTTACAATATAATTATTATGACTCGAATTTTGATTATTCCTGGCGCTTGAATGGACCAATAAGCAAGAAAATGACGCACACAGAGTAGAAAAAAAATGCAAAAATATTTTCACATAATTTCATTGCACAAGTGTGACAAAAACTGTGACACAATAGGTCTGTTTTCACAGCAATCACAGATTATAGTCAGAGCAAATTTCATTGGTTGAAAATAATCAGGAAACTGATTATGATTTGTGATTTCTGTGGAAACAGACCCAATATGTTTCCTACTTTATTTCTGTCTTCCTCTTACTCATTAAATTTCTTATGTCGTTGTTATCTCTTACCTACCTATTGTACTTACTATTTCTGGCGCCTGAGTGGGCTTAGTTTGATCAATCGAAAGTTTGAAATAATTAAAAAATAAGCAAAGATATGAGAAATTGAATAAGTGAGAAAGAGACATCAATAAAGTAGGATAATGGAATTGTAGCCCGAATTTTGATTATTTCCGGCGTTTGAGAGGACTTTGTTTGACCAATCGAAAGCCTGCAGGAATAAGATAATAAACAAAGACATACGAAACTCAATAAGTAAGAAAGAGACACAGTTAAAGTAGGATAATTTTGATTGTTCCTGGCGCTTGAGTGGACTTTGTTTGACCAATCGAAAGTCAGGAATAATAAAGAAATAAACAAAGATATGAGAAATTTAATGAGTGAGAAAGAGACACCAATAAAGTAGGATAATGGAATTGTAGCCCGAATTTTGATTATTCTCGGCGTTTGAGAGGAATTTGTTTGACCAACCGAAAGCCTGTAGTAATAGGATAATAAACAGAGACATAAGAAACTCAATGAGCAAGAAAGAGACACAGATAAAATAGGCCAATGAAATTGTGATTCAAATTTTGATTGTTTTCGGCGCCTGAGTGCACCTTGTTTGACCAATCGAAAGCCTGCAGTAATATAATAATAAACAAAGATATAAAAAATTGAATAAATAAGAAAGAGACACAAATAAAGTAGGATAACGAAATTGTAACCCGAATTTTGATTATTTCCGGCGGTGCTTGAGAGGACTTTGATTAATCGAAAGTCTACAGAAGTAAAACAAGAAACAGAGACATCAGAAACTCAATGAGTAAGAAAGAGATATAGATAGAGTAGGATAATGAAATTGTGACTCGAATTCTGATTGTTCCCGGCGCTTGAGTGGACCTTGTTTGATCAATCAAGAGCCTGGAATAATTTTTTTTTCCATCAAATAATCATGAAACAGTAAATGAGCTTCATAAATAGCTTTAACTCAACTTTATTACAAAAATGATTAGAAATCAGATTTCTTCGTTAATTTAGCTCAATTTTGACTCTACTAGAGCCGAGAATAGAATTCTAATGCATCACTACTGCAAATTTTTGTAGCTCAGATCAGAAACAGTTATGAGATTTTGGATTTTTAGGCTTCTTTAGCTTTAAAGGGTTCAAAAATTAACTTCTTAAAAGGTTGGAGGCTCAATTTGCCTTCAAAAATAGTCAGAAATCTTGTAGAGGCATATTCTATTCAATTTTAGTTCGAGATTTACAAGGTTGCTTAGAGTACACTTATCCAGTTCCATTTTGGCTTTACTTTATCGTACTGAATTATTAGTAGTTGGTTACACACACACAATAGATAGGAAAAGAAAAAAAAAATAAATAAAAAAGCTCCGATAATTACCAGTCACATCATTGAGGGCCCCACGTTGGGCGCCATAAACTTTGCTATGCCCTACGAGTTAGAGAAAAGGTGAGGTAGAAAATATGAAATAACTTCGAAGAAAAAAGTTCAGTTTGTTTATTTTTAAGTTGTTTTTTCCCATCTAATCAAAATAACTAAGTAGCTGTGGTTCATTCATAAACATATTTATTTTGATCTTCTTGTTAAAAGTTCCAATTTCTCAACATAAATATTTTCTAATTATTTCCAGAGATTTAAGCAGCAACAACATAACAGGCCTAAACGAGACGTCCCTCTGGCATTACGCAAATCTCGAAGAACTGTAAGTATTTTAGTTTAGTCCAAAATAAAATAAGGGTCTTCAACCTTTACAAAGAAATACCCAAAAAAGACAGACACATTACTGCCAATAGCCCCTATACTTCATATCGCATCGTCTCAATCACTTTATTGGCCTTCTTTCTTTTCGAAAAGGCTCGTAAAGTTTTCCGTGCATTGATTTATAAAAATGATTCCGTCTTTTTCATCAAACAAAATATATTGTAAATGTAAATTTCCCAATGTAATACTTTTCAAGAGAAAAATGTCTGGTCGGAGAAAATTGTCTGTGCTTTATTAGCTCCATCGATCCAATCAAGTGTACATTCGGCAAAGTGCATTTCGCTATTATCATTTTGAGAGATTATCCCGAAAGTAGTTTTGTGAACTTTGTCACTTTAACTTATTGGCTTGTATTTTTAATTTCCAGAATCTTGTCCGATAATAAGCTGGAGAGTATTCATTCCAAATCGTTTGCCAAAAATACTCAACTGAAAAGACTGTAAGTATAATTTTGTTGTATTAGAAAACTCTTAACCCTCATCACAAGGTATAAAACTAAACCCTTTTTGACGCGTTCATTATTGTGCGTAATCGTTTTCATTAGTTGCCAATTTTCTCGTAGATTTAGTTCAATAGAATCGTTGTCGTTTATATCTTTAACGCATTAGACCGGGAAGTGGATTATTACACTTTTTGGGGAGAAAGACAAATGACGGAATAACGGGATTACGATTTTATTCAAGTAATTGATGGGTTTTTGAATGGTGCAATAACTCCGAGTGGATTAGAGAAGATTTCAATGTTAAACTCATTTTATAAAACGAACTGCAATTGATAGTGTTTAAATGATGAATTTATTGTAGAAAGTTATTGTCTCTGTTCTAAATTTATTTGTTGTCAATGTGATCTTATTTGAGTTTTAAGTTTGCATTCCGGAAGCGGTCAAAAACTTCTTCCAGGTTTCTTAGATGGTCTTGCAATGAATTTCCCATGATCATGACATCATCTTAATATACCAGACAAGATCTCCATGTAAGGCCTCGCAAAACTATGTAGATGCATCAGTCGCCCAAACATAGCGGAAGCATTACACAATCGAAAAGGCATTACTTTAGACTGGTATAACCCGCTTCCTGTACTAAAGGCAGTTTTCTCTTTGTCATCTTTGTGTATTGCCACTTGCCAGTATCCACTCTTAAGATCCAAGGCGGAAAACCATTTAGAGCCCGATAGAGTTGTTAATGTATCGTCTATCCTCGGAAGAGGAAAGCTGTCCTTTTTGGTTATGTCATTAAGCTTACGGTAGTCCACAAAAAATCTAAGATATTCTCAGATTTTCGTGACGATTCTCATGACCACCAGGTTTTTTATGGCTTCTACTTGACGTTCTAGTTGTGGATCCATCGAACATAGAACTGTTAGCGCTTGAGCTGAGGCTTTATAGGAGTCTACTTCGTTCAAATTTTCACAGCTCAATTCCAATTGTTTATAATTCTTATAAATATTTCTACCATCAGAATTTAACAAAGCAAACATGTGCCGCCTGGACATAAATCCTTGTTCGATATCCCTGAGCTTGAACCCGTCCAATGGCAGCATGTACTTCTTCTGCCGCTCTTTTTAGTCTTTGAATTAGGTCTATAAACCTAGCAGTCCCAAGGTGGAAAAAAACTTCGGGAACTATATAATAATTAGGTGCTTTTTAGGTGCTAATTAGGGCCTCTAATTGAAAATTGGGTGCTCCTTTAGTTTCTGAGAAAATCAAAAAAAGCTAAGGGACTGCTAGGTTTATAAAGCTAGCAGTCCCCTATAGTAAAAAAAAAAATTTCAAATTTTTTCTTTGTATCAGAATTAGGTGCTTTTTAGGTGCTCCTAAATAGTCCAAGAAAAAATTGAATTGATTAATTATTAACTGAGTTACAGATTTTTTTTTAATTACTAGGGGACTGCTGGCTTTACGTTTACATGTTGTTATGTCAAAATGACGAAAAATCTTTGAGATCTACCTATATAATAATTAGGTGCTTTTTAGGTGCTAATTAGGGCCTCTAATTAAAAATTAGGTGCTCCTCTAATTTTTGAGAAAATCAAAAAAAACTAAGGGATTGCTAGGTTTATGAAAGCTACTAGTCCCCTATAGTACATAGTACAAAAGAAAATATTTGAGAAATATTTTTTACTATAGGGGACTACTAGCTTTCATAAATCTAGCAATCCCTTAGTTTTTTTTGCTTTTCTCAAAAACTTATTTTTAATAAGAGGCCCTAATTAGCACCTAAAAAGCACTTAATTATTATATTGTTCCCGAAGTTTTTTTTCCACCTTGGGACTGCTAGGTTTATAGACCTTTTGAATCAGGAAATACTTTCGGAAGTCAGAACGAACCATTAGTCGCGCGAGTTTCCCTTCATTATACCCAAATTGACCTTTTGTTTGGACGCCATATTGCGGTGCGCGAACATAGTTGCCAAAAGAAGAAAACAAAAATTACTAGCAGACTGTCAACATTAAAAACAACAGTAACTAAATAATTGATCCTCGCTGTCCTTTTTGTTTGTTTACTTTCTCTCTCTGATTCTATAAGCAATAAAGCCTAGTACTCATAACCGCGAAATTCGCTCTTTTTTGACATTGCTTCGACAATTTGACGTTTTATGCATGAATCTGTCGCATGAATTAAATGTCAAATTGTCGAAGCAATGTCAAAAAAGAGCGAATTACGCGGTAATGAGTACTAGGCTTGAGAAAGGAAACCAAAATTTGGTAAAGTGAATAGGTAGATATTTTATTATTTCTATTCTGCCCAATACAAGTTAAAATTGATGGCTTTTTTTTTCAAAAACATTCGTAATAGGCGGCAAATTAAAATTTTAAATGTAATTTATTCAGTAACTTTTGTTTTTAATGTTGACAGTACGCTAGTGATTTTTTTTTCTACTTTTGGCAACTATGTTCGCGCACCGCAATATGGCGTCCAAACAAAAGGGCAATTGTGGATGCACATGTAGCCCTCCCTTATCACTTGATTTTCCAACCCGGATCTGGATCTTTTGGCAGTTGCGGCGTGTAACCCCTTTTATTAATGAATTAACTATGGGTCCATAATATGCTCAGGTTAGCTCAGTAAATAATTAGGTGTAGGTCAATTGTGTATACAGTCTGATTTGCACACCACTGGATCTTATATTATAAAAAAATTTAATTTGTATTAGATGAAATATCAAAATGCTAGAATTCAGAAAAACATTCTAAAAATAAAATTAAAGAATAAAGATAGGTAATTAAGTTCTTTAGATGAAAATAGGTAAATAAGGGGACTTTAAATTAAATGTAGTGGAATGGAATGTTGATGAGATACTTCCAGAGACGGATCGAGAGGAGGCCTGTAGATTTGGCAAATCGCCCTCCAAACGAAATCGTGGCGGTTGTACCTTTTTGTACTAGCAAGTAGCAGGATTGTCAGGGTGGCCCAATATGGACACACGTGAAGGTTTTCTTCTGGGAAGAAAAAAGGCAGCCTCGAAAACAGCCAATTTGTATTTTCAAAGGTTAGGGGAACCAACTCTCCGAAAGACCCTAACATAATAGAAATATTCCCTTAAATAAGTATTGCTTTTGGATCGATTAAAAACTTACCACGTTGGATAAACACTGAATTTACAGCAAAATCACAATACTTTTTGGAATGCTTATTCCGGTAATAGACTAAGGATCGCTTTCGGAAAGCTAATTTTGAAAAAGAAATGCCCAATGGCAGTAATCGTTACTCTCATGAGCGTAAGTTGACATTTCTGGCGTAATCACGTGATAAAATGATTGGATTTTATTGGTAAAATATTCGCCATGTTAGATATTTTACCAATCAAATTACACCATATTATCACGTGATTACGCCAGAAATATCTTACGCTCATGAGAATTCGCCCTCAGCTATGTAAAAATAACTACGTTCGAAAACTATTAACGAGGTTAAAGAGCGACGAAGCACCGAGTTGAACAGATCAAGATAGTATAAAAGAAAGCGCCTATGTCCTCTCGAAGGCTGCAAATAGTTTAATATAAAAAAAAAAACAAGTGACATTTGCAATGTTACAGGCTTCTGATCGATTTTATGAGTTGGCAAATCCAATAAAATCCTCATGATTGGTGTTCATGTAGACCAATTCGCAATCGTTTAATAAGCAAATTTTTTCTTTGCAATGATGTTTTTTTTGTCTAATCTTTTCACAATTGCCTCAAAAGTTGTGTCTGGTGTAAAAAGACCAACCCTAATACTATGTATGTTTCTGATGGCAAAAGCAATTTCGTGTCTGAGCTCTTTTTCATCAAACTCCATCTTGACAATTTTACATGGAAAACATTCGTAAAACATTAGCATTGTCGAAATCGTGATCGGATCCCCCAGATTCCTGATGGGTTGCATTCTGGATTTCTTCCATAATCACATCTTTCACCTCCTGGGACAAAGTTGTCTTGCCAATAAGTTGTTTTACAACCTCTAATATTGGTGCTGGCTGGAACGAGTAGGCATTAACAACTAGCGAGGCTTCCCTTGTAGGTCCACCTCCGAAGAGAGATTCTAGCGGGAGCAGGAGTCAGACATTTTTTGTGCATTTCTCTGTCGTACCCTGACATGCAGCCGAAGCATATGATGGTTTTCTTGGAGTCGTAGAGGTTGATATTGCTATAAACGCGTCACTCGTACTTTTTGATTGCCCCCTGTAACTACAGTTAAAGAAGCCAGAAAATTTGACTATTTTCAAGATGAACTAAATCACGAAAATTCGAGCGTGTTAGAGAAGAATGCACACCGCGTAAGGATCATTTCTGATTGACGTACGACAAGTGCAGTAAACTGTAAAGTCAAGAACTAAATAACCACGTTCGAAAATAATCGTGCCGTATAAGCTTTATTTGCAGTTGTTCGGAGTGTAAAATAGTGTTGAATTTCTTGTGATTTTTATGTTATTGTGTTTATTAAAATTCGAAAAAGTAGTCTGACTTATCTGCGAACCCGTAAAAGTAACAATTGGTGTCAGAAGTGGGATAAGTGAGTGAAGAAATTTGCATTTATGGTAAATACGAGAAAACAGACTGCTGAAATGGAAGCTAATCCAGGTGCTCGCTTTGTTGATACTTGCGGACGAGGAGAGAGCAAAAGAAAAACAAGAAGAACAGGACCAACTACAAAAAATCCTTCAAGAACAAGAAAAAAGGTGACTTAAAGAAAAACAGGGAGAAGAGGACAAGCGACAGCAAGAGCAAGACCGGCTCCAGAAAATTCTGCAAGAACAGGAAGACAGACAACAGAGGGATATTGACAGGATCGCTAGGTTGTTCCAGAATATCCAATAAGAACTGTTTTCTCACGGTGGAACTGGTTCGGTCCGGTTCAATTAGGTTTGAACCTGTACATTCTTGCGTTGAACCAGTGACGTCATATTGAACCTGGTTCAAAAAAGTTCGAGCCGGACTCATGGCTTGTTCTCCGTTGACATA